GGACATTGCCGGCCATTCCATCGTCGTGACGTTATTTTCATCTTTCCACGCTCTGCACAGTTTGCTGCGATATTTAGAATAATTGTCTTCTTGCAACACCTAACTTATTCTATCAGAACCATAAAACTTTTCAGCAAACTATATAAACTATATACTGCGCAAAAGAGCACGCAATAAAGGTTCAACCGAGTTCAGGAAGATGTTGCTGCGGTCGCTCTTTGTAGAATAACGAGCGTCACTTTCTTATTGAACAGACTGTATATTACATCTCAAGTTCGCTCACATCACTCACCGTCCAGAATATACATTTTTTGTATCAAGTATGCTTCGTAGAGAAGTAAAAAATTCAAAATGCTTACCTAATATCCCATCCCCGCTTTCTCCTCCACAACTGCTACCTCCACCATCTAATCACTCTCTAACAATTTTTATGTCACCTTATCATCCTCTGCTGTTATATTATTGTATATTGAAAGGAATTGATATAATTCTTCCTCATTATTTGTATTGAAGAAGTCGAGCATGAACTCGACTAATTCATCATTTGTACACGATTCAAAATCAAAATCAAACACTGAAAGATTTTCACCGAGCTCATGCTCGCCGAGCTCATTTTCGCTGAGCTCATGTTCTTCGAGCTCATGCTCGACTTCTTCAGCCTCCTCTGAGGTGGAAGTATCCTCAAATCTTTCTACGAATGGGACATCCTCGTCCCTCTCAATATCATTTCCAAAATTATACGGCACTTTAACTTTCATTTTGCCCTCGCAAGACTAGACTGTTCACTACACTATTATACTCGTAAATGAATATACTGGTCAGCTGCTGGTTTTCACTAAGATTATATAGTGAAAGTTATTGCAAATCATTTCCTTTTCTCCTTAAAAGTCTTTTATGTGTTATCATACTATTTTTCTTTAAACGCGATATAAATGTTTTGAAAATATTTAGCGAGAATATTTGAAGTATTACACATTTTTATCGTTCAAATACTGATAGTGATACATGTTTGATATTGCGAGAACATTGAATGTGATATATGTATACATGTGTGAGAATAACTAAAGTAATATAAATGAAAATGTTTTTTATGCTTTAAATAAATCCTAAATCGCAAGGATAAATTTTTATAGTTTATCATTAAGTATCTAATTTGTGGAAGAAAGGTTAGGTTAGGTTAAAAATTATATTTGTACATATAATTGTTTATTATAATAAAAATAATATACATAGGTTAGCGCTCTCCGAAGACCAAAACGATTAATTCACATTGAATTATATCATTGTGGTTGAAGGATTCGTCATCGTACATTGTTTTCAGTATATTCGCAGGTTCCTTGATAGTGGAAGCGATATCGAAAAATCGCGATAATTTTTTGTCAACGTTATTGGTAATCGAATTTAACGAGGAAATAAGACGATTTACACAATAGAGATTAGATCCAGATTAAACATATTGAGCACGGTTTTTTGACATTGTTTTTTGACATGGATAGGCGAGTCGTGGGCGCTTCTAAACGTAATATCGGTAGATTATTAATTATTATTAATTCGTCCGAAACGTAACGTTAGATTTCCAATATACATTGGAGACGGAGGACGTATCCCTTTGGTCTCATCGTACTGCAAAAGAGACAGTATTATATGTTTTTGCTCGAGAAGTTCTCTCCAGATATCGGGTGAGAGTGGAATTTCCTTCCCATGACAATCTCCAAGAATGATGCTTATACAGGAAGGTAGCTTGGCATCGATACCAATGTTTAAATATTTATAGCCAGTTAGTGTTAAAGGATATTTTCTTTCAAGAATTCGAATGATTGGATAACGAGTAATTTGATATCTATAATTTTAAAGAAAATATGAGATATAAAATAGATATAAAAGGAAAAAAAAATACTTACGTATTTGATTGTTCTTTATTTGGATTTTCATCATTGAATTTAACCTTCTTCGCGCTTATTGTTAGTTTGTCCTGGCTATTCTGTTCCATGAGGTAATTCTCAATATCCGTATTGCTGAACATTTTGTTTATATGTTTTGGAATATTGTCTTCACAGTTGGAAAGTGCGTACATTCTTTTAAAATGATGTTATTGGAACGATTGTTCCTTTCGTACTGGTCGTTTTATAAAAATGATTACACAATTATATAATTATGTATGATATCATTTTTCCCCTTCCTTTTCATTTTCTCGTTTATACATGTATTATATATGTATTATATATGTATTATATATGTATTATATATGTATTATATGTAACATATATATTAATAGTTTAGGTAATATATATGTTTATGTATTAACTGTACTGAATGAATTGATTCAAGATATCTTTCAACTGTTGCAATAATCCATCTCTCGAACATTCAGTGTTAAGTATTTTTTTTATACTAAATTTATCCGCTTTTGTCACGATTCTCTTGAATTTATATTGGTAAAATTGTTGTTTCTTAGCAAAATAAATATTACCATCCATATGTCGGAAAGCCATGGTTGGAGATGGCGGTATTCCGGGAAATATTGATTGTAACGTTTGATATGCACTAACAGTCAGAGTACATTCGTCTATTTGCGCCACATCGTTATCATCGAAGATTACGTAGGTTTGTCCTTTGTGAGTATTTATCGCGGTATTAATTACAACATTTGGGGGAAATCCCAAATTTTTTAGATGTTTCGGCCAGCCTTCTTTTAATTTGAAACTGGGATAATTAACCATATAAACCATATTATTTATAAATAGTACTATTTCACCCGAGGGTCTTTGATACGCGGCTGACAAAGAGAAATTTTTTGGGAGGAAATTCATGTAAGTATTTAGCTCAAATGGTCCGTCATATTTGTTATTATTTATATTTATCGACCATACATAGCTTTGATATGTGACAAATATTCGATGATTTAATATTAATATAGTATCCACATATTGTAATTCACAGAGATCTATTTTATCAGGCTTATTTGTCGGAATTTCAGTAGTCGTTGTTGGTGGTTTTATAGTAGTTGTAGTTGTTATTCCTGGTTTGTTCCTTCCATATAGATACTGAATCGTTAAAATATCTTCTAAGTTGAGTTTAACAGTTGTATTAGTATTTTTAGCAAACGCAAACGTTATGGAATCTTCGCGCGAACTGTGCATTAGTCCTAACGAATGTCCAATTTCATGTGTTAACGTATGAAGTAAACGTTCCGAGTTGAAAGGTATTTTATCGTCTAGGTATATGTGCCAGGCTTCTGCATTGTCAATATGTATTTCGGTGGTGTAATTAGGATTGCGTGAAGGATAAAACGCATGAGCGAGTACTCCACCACGATCGTCGAATGAAGAGGGGCAAATTTCTGCGTTACGTTTGTGATCAAGATATGTGTGAGTACTACTACGGTAAGATATTAAAATGTCAGGGTTTAATATTTTACGCTCGAATGTTAAGGATGAATTAGCTGCCCATAACGAGAATGCAAATTCTGTAGTTTTTAAGATATTTGCATTTGCCAAATGAAAGTTCCACGTAAGATTTATTTTCGTCCATTTATGTATACCTGTATCGTACTCATGATGTGAATATCTGGGAATATCTGGGAGACCACATCGTGGTTTACGCATTTGATGTAACGTACGATCGTTCAATGATCCATCACCTTGTATTCGATAAAATTCTTGAAATAATGCAATAGCCTGTTTAAGTTTTTCACTCCCGATCGATAATTGCGTATTGTTCCCAATGTAATTTAAATAACCATATTTTTGCAGATATAGAATTATTTCTGTATTTATATCTTGAGGAGAAGAAGGAGAATTCATCGTTGTTGTCGTTGCCATTATAGTTTTAATAATGGTAACAAAAATAATGATAAACACAATAGATATTATTGTATAAAATGATGTATACTACAAGACGAATGAATTACTTCTGCGATCTTACATATGTATTCTCAAACGATACTATTGTACGAGTATCTATTTAAAAAAGAAAGGGAAGATGAAATCATGAGATATAAATAAAGTGTATGTTATATATTTGATAGTATGAGTCATACATATAATTAGAATGTGTTGCAATAACACAGTAGCGTAACATTACAGTAGCGTATAATATTTATTGATTTATTTATATAATAAATTTTTTTAGTTAAAAATAGCAAGTTTCGAATTCATATCGTCATATAATTTCAAAAATAACATTAGGCAATGTATTATATTCTATCACTCTATCATGAATAATAAGACAATAAGCTGTGAAATTCTCAGGAATATTTTCCATACATTCAAATTCTATACGAATGATAGCGCTTTTTTATCAATTCGTTTTGAAGAGAACAATCAATCATGACGAATGGATCGTTT